TTTTTTGCGGTACGCGGGCCTCTCACTGTTGCGGCCTCTCCCGTTGCGGAGCACAGGCTCAGCGGCCATGGCTCACGGGCCCAGCCGCTCCACGGCGTGTGGGATCTTCCCGGACCGGGGCACGAACCCATGTCCCCTGCATCGGCAGGCAGACTCTCAACCACTGCGCCACCAGGGAAGCCCTAAAGGAATATTTGATGGACAATTGGTTTATCTAAAACAGCTCTAAATTCTGTGAGCGTATTACTGCTGAAATGAAATACATCTTCCCTTGCAATTAATCTCTCGTAATCATCAGGATAATTGCCTATTGATTGTCACTGACTTTAATTCACTTATGTAACCGTAAATACTTATTGAGTGCCTACTGTACCCAAAGCTCTGTTAGGTGCCAGGGGTACAGCTGTGGACGGTCTTGGCCCTCAAGGAACTCAGTGTCAAAATCTAAAAAGCAAAAAGTAGTATGGACCGAAAAGTCTTAAATAACTTTCCCTTTGTGTAGATCCTGGTATGGTTCTCCCAATGAGTTGTTGGTGGATAGACAGATGTCATTAGACACAAAAGATAGAAAGATTTCAATGCCGGCAGACGCAGAAACGGCAGAGCCTAGCACACAAAGCAGGAGATAACACGGTGTACTCCTCAGGGAGGTCCTCCTTCCCAGGCCCCAAGGGTCCCCTCGGGGTCGTCCAGGGGGATGACACCCGTCGGGGGGGCTTTGAGCAGCCACAAGCAGCTCCTCTGCCGCTCTGATGGAGGGCATCCACCGCCGTCCAGTCTCCCTCTGCCTGCTTGTGCTTTAGCCCTGGCCGTGTGTCTGCCTGCAGGCCGGGTGACTGTGGGGGGGCACCCCTAGGAGCAGCCCTCAGCACACAAGGCGTCAGGCCTGTCTCAGCTCCATGCCAGCAGTGCTGGCGCTTACCTCCCAGGATTGTTTTGACGGTTAATGAGGTAAACTGGTTAGAATAGTGCTTAGCCCAAAGTAAGCACTTAATGAATGTATTAATATCATGAATTCATTATAACATTATTACTTAAATACATCAACACCATTATTAGTCTCAGTGAAATAGAACATGAGGCAAACATGCTTACATAAAGTTTTTCTTTAAGAGGTTTTTAACGATGAACCTCTGCTGCTTTTTTTTTTTTAAGAAAAATAAGAGAATATTATCCTCTTCTTAGCCCTCCTCCTTCAACCAAAAGAACAAAACAAAGAAAAACAACCCACAAAAGGTGAAACAGTGATTTTGCTGGTGTTTGAAAACGTCCACATAACATAATGAATATATTTATTATAGCATTAGTCACGTTTCACTAACAGAGGACTAAAATTCGTCCAGTAATAGCCAGCTAAGTTTCCGCCACTTCCTGCTTTGTGTATTCCCTCAGTTGCTTACCTGGTCTCTTTCTTTAGTCCTGGTGGACAAGTCAAGGTGGTGGGGTTTGCCAGAAACCACAGACCTTTCTCCCCGTCTATCACGAGTCCTGGTCCTTGGTTGCAGGTGCTGTTTGGCACGGCTGACGGGCAGGTGATCGTCATGGACTGCCACGGCAGGATGCTGGCCCACGTCCTCCTGCACGAGTCAGACGGCATCCTCAGCATGTCTTGGAACTACCCCGCCTTCCTAGTGGAGGACAGCAGCGAGAGTGACACTGACTCCGATGACTACTCCCCGCCCCAAGGTAGCTCGCGGGCTCCGTGGGGACAAGAGTGTGGAAGGAGAATGAACCCATCTGCAGGGGAAGGGATAGGCCCGCCGTGCGCCCGGCTCCCTAACCTACTGGGCAGGGTTCTCAACGGAAGTGCAAGGCAGAACTGGCCTAATCTCTGTTCTTGGTTGGACCGTCTTCTCTCTGCCATCCCTTTTTGCAGAATCACTGGTCAGGTTGATGAAGCTCCACTGGCATAGGTTTTCCTAGATATAAAACAAGACTTATGGCCGTTTCCATGTCCCTGGGGTGTCGTGGGACTTAGCTGCTTAGTGAGAGTAGAGAGAGCTGAAGATGAAAAATGCTGTGCTCTTATTCTTATACCCTAATCTGTGGTGTTTCAAATCCCTAACATTATTAAAGCCTGTAGCTTTAGTTGTGTGGGGAAAGGATTAGCTCTGCCCGTAGTGAAGGCCAGTACACTGGGCTGGTATCCATGCCCCTGTCTTTTTTATTTCAGGCAGAGGGTCTGGGCTTCCTCAGTTCAGGTGAACCTGCCGCCCTCACCCCCCGCCCCCAAGCCTCACAGTGACGTTAGATTAGAGTAGATGACGTCGGAGTTTTTTAACATTTGGACCAGTAGTGAAAGATTGTTTCAGACCCTTGGTGGGGATAATTTCAGGTTCCAGCTTCCTTCACCCCTTGCAGTGTGTCTTAGCCCCCACCCCAAAGCAGAAGCCTTTGGTGTCGACGCTGGCCATCACCAATGTCAGCCCTCAGCACTGGCCCACTCAGGGCTCTGGCTCTTCCCCAGTGTCCCATCCCCTGCTCTAACCTCTTTTTTTAAAAGGAGAATATGTTACAAATAGTGGAAGGAAAAGACTCCCCGTGGTCACCTGCTGCGGGACTTCCGGGCAGCTGTGCTCACACTGCTGGCTGAGTGCCCTTAATGGGCTAAAGGCACACGCTGGACAATTTCTACCCTTCCCTGTGACTGTGGGCATGTTCAGCCTGTGAAGGGCTGGTCCAGGGAGAGTATTTTTAACTTTCTCCGCCATCAGCATCTGCCCTCACTGGTACTTGGAGTCTTCTCCCTCTTGTCCCAGACGTGACAGAGTGTCATGCTTCCCAGAGACGTACACATATACATAGCCATTCATGCACTTAGGGAGAAGGCAGTGTTCAGACCGGTAATGAAAGATTGTCTCAGACCCTGTGAAAAAAGTGTAGATTGGCGGTAGTGTTTCAGGATTGGTGGGTGTCGGGAGGGAGAGCGCTCTTCGCTCCTGGAAATCCTGCCTTGAGCGAAGTGCTGATCCGTCCTCCACCTCGTGGCGATGAAGCCAGTGTCTTTCAGCCTTGGACTCAGCATCCTTTTAAAACAGAACTTTGCTAGATTGAATGCATATTTGCTTATCCACATTTATTAGGGGAAGAAACAAGATCCAGAGACCAAGTTGATAAAGCAAGTCCAGAGTAAGTCTCAGAGCAGAACGCAGTTCCTGGCTACTACTCTTAACCTGTTACCCTCTTCAGAAGCAGAGGGCCAGTTTGGAGGATGACTGGGATTTGCCTTTCAGGTAGAGCAGGGTGTTTCTTGGTGGCCTAGGGAATTTGAGCACAGAGGTAGGTAGGTACCTGCAGCATCTTAAAAGTGAAGCAAAGGAGAGTCATAACTGGGGATCCTCCACAGGCGGGGCTGAGCATGGTGAGCGAGCAGACGTCAGGCTGGCCCGCCCTGGGTGGGAGAAGACAGAGCATCATCCCTCACGGCTCCTTCCTTAATGCACAGTCTCCTCGCACCCACGAAGCAGGGTTCCCTTCTGCTGGCCGTGCACTGGGTGTGAGCCACATCCGACCTTGGCCTTCTCTCCAGATGTGGGGTCTCTTCTGGTAAAAGCAGAGAGCTCATGGTGGCTGCTCACTTCCTATAATGTTTAGTGAAAGTGTGTTCAGTGTTGAAAGGCAGCTTTTCTCTGTACATTGGACCAGGATTAAGAAAATGTTTTCATCCCTCTTGCCACTATCCTTATACGTTACATGACATTAAAATAATTTACGTTTGCACATCATCAGAAACATGTAAACCCGTGACCACAGGGGTTAATAAACTCTGCACGCACGCTCTCAGCATGGCATACAGAGCCCAGGGAGCCCTGCTCAGTGCCCTCGGGGCTGCGGTCCCCAGCGCCTCTCATTCCAGGGGGCTCCGGGAAGCGCCCCCAATGCTCCGTGTAGTTCCTGAGTACTGTGCAGCATTGCCTCACTTGGTAATGTCCCAGCCCAGAGTCTGATCTGCACTGTTGGGCAGTTTCGAGGCCCTCCGCAGGATTGCAGCACGCGGGCCTGGATTCCGGTCACGTGCTTGTTGCCTCATTTTCACTCGGCACTTCTGTCCCCGCAGATGGTCCGGCGGCGTATCCCATCCCAGTACAGAACATCAAGCCGCTGCTCACCGTCAGCTTCACCTCAGGAGACATCAGCTTGATGAACAACTATGACGACTTGTCTCCTACTGTCATCCAGTCGGGGCTGAAAGGTACGGATCAGCCCGAGCGGCCAGCCTTCCGAGCTGGGCGTCACAGCCAGGCCTGTTGACCCCCGGCCTCTGCAGTGGCCTCTTCTGGGCTTAATGGAGTCTGTTCACTCCTCTGCTTAGCCGACAAGTCGATTCCTATCTAGTCTCACCTTGAGGAGGGATTCCTGACAGTCCCCTTCGTCTTCACCTGCCCTTCTCCCCCCACGGCAGGAGCGATCCTCTCGGGTGTGGGCCGCTTGCCTCCAGCCAGCACTGTGGGTATTGGGCGGCAGCACCTGCCATGCCTGCGGCAGCAGGTGACACACAAGACAGCCGAGGCCTCGGTGTGAAGGTCAGCAGTCAGGGCCTGATGCCTTCCTGAGGGACGTTAATGAAATGCTGTCTCAAGGGAAGACAGGCGTCCGTAAGCATTCGCAGTGTTCTGAATTTTGCAATTCAGGAATACCGTTGAGATTGTGCCTCTGATGAGTTCTTTGGAAAAACAGTTCTGTTTTTCTGGTGCAGTGTAGAAATTCCAGGGCTACTTCTGGTCCTCGAGGTTAAGGGACCTCCTATAATCTGAATGGGAGCCATTGCGGGGCCTGGCGGTGGGGAGGCAAACCGGAACCTTCAGTTCAGCTTGCTGCTGACCTTCGAAACTGGCCATCAGACCAGAGTCCTGGCCATGTTGCTTCTTGTCTGAATTGTTCAGGAATGCCAGGGATAT